CGCACCTCCGCACCTGAGTATTTTCCACACTGCGCCTCCTCTGAGCCTCGGTATGCTGTTGTCTTTCCTTCTAGTTGAAGAGTCTCTCCTCAGCCAGCCTTCCTGTGGTTCTGGGTGATGTCCGTCCGTCTTTTAGTTGTATTTTTGAAGTGGTTGTTTGCGGCAGCAGTCTCCGGTGTTTACCTATGCCGCCATCTTGCTCGGAATCTCTTTTTTCTTTTAAATTTTTATTGATTACAGAGAGGAAGGAAGAGGGAGAGAGAGATAGAAGCACCATTGATGTGAGAGAATCATTGATTGGCTGCCCCCTGCATGCCCCACACTGGGAATCAAACCGTGACCACCTGCTTCATAGGTTGATGATCAACCACTAAGCCACACCAGCTGGGCTAAATTATTTTTTCAGTACCTTGTTTTAGAAATGCTAAATAAGTTCTGTGGTTTCCTTTCTTTTCTTTTTTTTTTTAAAGAAAAACAAGATATAGTCATTTTTAAAGAAAGAAGAAATTGTTTAAAGAGGGATACATTTTCCATGGGAAGATTTTTAAGCACACACCTAAGAAAACTTAGGTGTGAGTTGTGCTGACCATGTAGGTTTAGAATCTGCATTAAAACTGATGTATTAGAGGATGATGAGTCTTTATTGTTTGTGGTTTTAATACTTAATGAAATAAATTTTAGATTTTAGATTAGTTTAGATATCTTGAGATTTAACCCTAAAGTCTATACTGATCTCCTGGGCTAGACTTTGATTCTGTCATCTTCAGAAGTAGTCTGTTTTCCAAATGGGGCATGTGAGCTGTTTGTTAGCTGCGGTTCTCATTTGGTGGAAAGTATTTCTTTTCCTTTGGGGATGAAGGGTGGTTCATATCCTGAAGAAAGTAGGTTGGCAAGCAAATAATTGATAGTACTGAGTCCTCTGTCACTTTATATGCTTTTTTTAGGACTAATTTTCCCCAGCATCCATTTGCCATGAGGCTACTCTTGGCTGCATTTATTGGAACAAAGGCTAACTCCTTTGTCTCATTCTTGCTTCATTTGAATTAAAAAAAAAAAAAGAGATTATTGCTTATAACTTTAGATGCTTGTCTTACTGAGTTCATCAAGACACTTAATTTTATTGCCAGTGTTTAGAGAACATTACATGTCATTAAAAGGAGACTGCTTTATAATTAAGAATTGCTTGGGTCTGCTTAATAAAACTCTGCTTTTCTTTTACTGATTAAATGGGAGTATTTCCAAACTTTTATATGTTAAATAACAAGCTTATTTGTGTGATCCTTATATCTTCTTTTTCAAAGTTTTGCTCTCTGAAATGCCTGTAGTTTAAGGTAACTTTCATACCAGAATAAGCATTTATCTTCATTTCCCTATGTTCTTCTGGTCTCTGTAAACTTCCTTTTGAGCCTCTTTGAGCTCATTCAGGGCTGTTTGTTTGTTTGTTTGTTTGTTTGTTTGTTTGTTTTCCTGAGTAGTCTACTCCCAAGTTTTTTTCCTAGAATGAACAAGTTTGTAAATTTTGTAATCCTTTGTATTTTCTTTCCCTCTTTTATCAGGGCACCTACATTTACCCCTAGAGTTTTCTCTTCTCTTTGTATAATGTCATCTTGTGCACCATTCTGGTGGGATCATATAGAGCTGGTATGCAGTACATTCAAATCTCAGAGCTGTTAGCAGAAAGAAAAATTATTTTCATATAAATTTTTGTGCATTAAAAAGTTCCTACAGAAACTATTCTTTCTGTTTTCAGTTAATTGCAGTTATCTTCTTCAACTCTTCCTTGAAACAGTTTAATTGCAAAGATCAATTTATTCTGGATTTATTGATCTTTGAATCTGCAGTAAATTAGGTTTCTTTGTAGGCATATAAAGTATAGGAATTACATACAACTAGAAGCCCGGTGCACAAAAATTTGTGCACTGGCGGGGGGGGGGGGTCCCTTAGCCCAACCTGTGCCCTCTCACAGTCTGGGACCCCTCGGGAGATAACCACCTGCTGGCTTAGGCCCGCTCCCCGGTCTCAGATGGCAGGCCTGATTCCCGCGCTGGGTCGGGCGGCAGCTCCGATTGTGCTGCCGCCTGCCCCGCCCACCCCACCCACCCCGCCCCACACATGGC